CAGCCAAATAAATAAATTTTAATTATTTGTTTTTTAAATTACAATTAATAATTTTGTAAATATGCCTAAACGCCAAAAAAAGCTGAATGAAACGCAATCTTCCAAATTAAATGGTAATTTTTTTCTCGCAACTTCTTAGCACACGCCTTTTTGCACTTTTTTCATCGTTTTCAATTAATTCCAGGCAACCCATTTTGGGTTTAATTTTTTCTCAACTAACAACACAAAAGCAAACAGCCGATTTTTTGTGACAGTGAACTCAGAATACGAAATAGTAACAAAATTTACTGAATGGTAAATGTATGGTAAAATACCAAAGTACATTTTATTACCTCGACAGAATAGGCCTGTTAGACGTTTGATAAAAATCGAATAGTTTACAAAGCCCCTGCCTATTTGGCGCCTTCATGATTTTTGCTTGAAAGACAGAGTTGTGCTCAATGTGTTTGAAGCTTGCTATACCATTCGGGTGGATGAATGATGAGAAGATTTTTGCTAATATATTATACTTCATGCCTGAATGCTCCAAATTTATCTAATCTGGTTATACCTTTAATAAAAATTATATTTTCGATCCATAAGTTCTACTATCTTTTTGGTTTTACTCTGAAAATAATTATTTTCTCCTTCCTGTTGTTAGTTCCAATTGTGTCATTAGTTCCAATTTAAAGGCCTCAAGGAAGTTTCATCAATTTCATAAAGGTCCAACCAGTCGCGTGTCATTCGAAAGGCTCGGACTCAAATCGTGGTACGACCACGGCCTCTTAGTAAAAACTTCAGGTCCAATCCATTTGTTGGAAAACCGTCAAGACGCAAAAACCACAAATTGAAGCAGGATCTCGGCCTAAAATCGCTTCAGCGGTTACAAAGCGCCAATCATATATATATCAAATGGATGATTTTTTAGCTTTTATCTTTTTGGCAACACTAGTTTACACAGCTAACGCAAATTTCGTGTTTTATATCACTACACTTCTTCATAGATGATGCGAATTGTAACGTAACTGTGCATGGTGAGCGCTACCGTAAGATGATATCAAACTTTTTTTTTACCCAAAATGCAAGAGCTTGACTTGTATGACATGTGGTTTCAACAAGACGGTGCCACATGCCACATAGCACAAGTAAGAATGGATTTATTGAGAGGCGAGTTCGGTAGATCGTGTGATTTAACGCCTTTAGACTATTTTTTGTGGTAATATGTTAAATCTAATGTCTATAAAGACAAGCCCCCTTCAATTGAAATGTTGGAAAGAGACCAGTCACGGTCAACATTTGCATGAAATAATCTTCAAACATTAAATTATATGGACCGTACTATCGATTCAAATATAGATTTCATGCATTTTTCTGAATTTTATGTGTTTTTTGTTTTGAAAAACTTTCCTATAGCTCTTAAAAAATCACCCTTTATATAACCAGAACTACTTCCGCTTTATGTAATCTTTGCATTTTTGGAGCAAGCTAATTTTTGGCCTGCACATACATCCATACATAAATTGTAACACACTATACATATGTGTAGGTGAGCGCTCAAAATGGGTAATCTATTACACAGCAATCGGGTTGGGGAGTACAAAAATTCAAACAATTTATCTATGTAAACTTCACAATACAACTAAACGCCCACGCACAACCCCAAACTCGCTGTTGCCACTGCTCTGCAATTATTTTATTTTATTTTTTACTTTTTGTTGGAGCTTAACGCATTACTTTGGCATCGCAAGAGCACATGCACGTGCATGGCAAGAAATAACAACAAAAAACTTACAAAAGTGAAAATATTAATAAGCAAACACATACGCCCACACCTAAGCATATACGAGTATATACGTACACGAATATGCGAATCGAATTTGCCGACTCTGTGATCAGCTTCTTTCTAAGTGTATACATTTTCATTTGCCTTAAACATTATTTCATTTTATTTGTGATTTTTTTTTTTCTGCAAATTCTATGAAAAATTCTCCATTATACATATTTTCCCCAGTAACTCCCCTCCGCCACAAAATACATGGAAATATATGTACACACTTACAAACTGGCACAGCTTTGAGTGGCAGGCGCAAACTACAATAACAACTACAAAATACACAAAATTATACAAAGTCATCCGATTTAAGGAATACAAAATTTTTTTTTTTTTTTTTTTTTTTGTACTTTTCTATCTTCTTTTCATTTCGTGAACTGCCACAATGCGCTACTTGCCTTATAACGGTACAACAGCAGAATTTCATGCTCCTAGCTTGCGGCCCTCACTTTGCCTCACTAACCCAACAAAAACTAACTATAGTTTGTGAATATGTATGTGAATATACATACATATATATAAAACTTATAAAAATTTTCTTCAACATGACTTGGCAAAATAAATTTCATTCTTAAGAAAAATAGCAAAAAAAATTGCTGAAAAAGTATGGAAAAAAGTAATAGAAATGCAAGCACACAGTCGCAGACGGTGGGTGAAAGAAGGGAGTGAGAAAAAAAATTCTCAACTATGCTGAAAACATAAATTAAGTTTCCATGGTTGAAATTGGTTAGCTGGCAAGCAACATGCCAACAACACATGCATTTCGATGTGTGTGCGTGTGTGTGATTGCTGAGCTGCTTCGTTTCGCTTGGCTGGGCCGACTTGACTTTCGTTTTTGCTAAGCGACGCGCTTATGAAGTTTAGTTAGCAGGATCGTCGCAGGCGTTTGTGTGGTTTTCTTGTGCATCCTTATAGTCAAATATACTAGTTACATATTTTAATATTAGTTGAAATTGCAAGTATTTATAAAACACTCAATCTTAACGGCAATGTCAGAATTCGTTCAGTAATCTACCAGTTTGAAATGGACCAAAGTGGTACTAGTTCCATTGCCTATCGAAATCATTTATTTCATATGTAATGTAATCCTTTTTATCGACTGAGTCACGAAAAAGACTCTTTTGAAGTCAGGTAGAATAATAAAAAATTATATCACGCCAAGTAGAATGAAATATATTATGTAAATAAAAATTTTAATAAGTACAAACAAAGTATCGATGACAATTCTAATTAGAAATATTCAGTTACAAACTAGTATTTTTTCTAACCAGTTTGATACATCAGCGCTGTGAAGCTTCCATGTTGGTTTTTGTTGTTTGCCGAATTTAAGTTGGCTGTGAGCTGTCGGTTGTGGGCTGTGGGCTGTGGGCGTTGGGCGGCAATTGTAGCACTTTATGGGCAGTTGACTAGAGCCACAACAGGAACGGAGTATGCAGGCCGCCAAAGCAAAGTGAAACAAATATATATGTATACTTTTCTACAACTATTTCAGCATAAGCCTAGGTAACTCATTTTCAGCAGATGGAGATTTTTTGCCTACCTCTTTCCCTCTTAATTTCTTTCTCTCTCTATACCAGCATTCCTCGTACATACTTGCCTGGTATGTGTGAGCGTTTTTATTTTGTCTTTCTATAGAATTTTCTACCTTCCCCATACAATTTATACTCTGCTCAACGGCTGAATTGAACAGAATGTACAGAAAAAAGAGAAAAGTGGAAAACTAGTGAAAAAGTAGAAATTGAACGAAAATTTCGTTAATGAAAATAGCAACAATGTAAACAAACAACACAACACCGCACACTTCCAATAACCTCAAATAATTGTTTGGGTGGCTGTCCGAAGTGGGTGGTCGCGGCAAATACCGAACATGACATGTAAGTGGCTGGCTACCCGTGTGCCTGAGTGATGGACAAACGAATGCATGCGATGTAAGCTGAATGTATTGTGTGTGTGCTTAGAAGATGATGTAAAGCGTTCCAACGCCTAAATGTACACCACAAAGCGTTGAGTATCTCTGAGATGGGAAACTGAATAAATTTTATTTTTATGTTATTAATTTTTTCAGGCGTGAAAAAATTAATTTTCAGATGATAATATATACTGTATTAAAGTTAATCAAGTTTAAAATGAGTTATTGAAGATGATGAGAGAAGTGTGAGGTTAATGAGATTATTTCACAAGATTAAAAATAAATGACATAGGACTACTGTATTCGGCTAAACAGCACTAAATATATCGAGGAAAATCCACCCGAAAGGTGCAAAGCGTTGTTGATGAGGTATGACTTATGACCGACCGGATGAATTTCGAATTAAATTCGTTATTTGTTGTAGGTCTAGAGTATCATGTTGGGAGAAAATAAACAGAGACAAAATCAGAGGGTGCGGGATTTTCTTCGGTGCGAGGATACGTTTTGGTCCTCATTATGATCTTCAATAAATTTTTTAACACTGTTGGCTGTTGGAAGTCTATTTTCCAATTCGTACTTAGAACTATGTAAATTTTAAATTTTTCTTGTGTATAGCTAAATGTTATATTTAAAAAAGTAAATATTCTGCATCCATCTAGATTGGGGCTGTTATTTACTTAAGGGAGTTTTTAAACAAATAAATTCACGGACAAAATGTATTATTCTGAATTACACATAGCAGCGAAGTTCACAATAACGATATTCTTGATCAAAATCTCAACACAAAATATAAGTAGAAAGGCTTCTGCCTTCTTATGAGTAGCTTTTTATGTCATGAAAGAAATGCAGTCCAGCCGAACGTTATAAGTAAAATTAAACAAATGAATTTTGAAGAATTTTGGATATTTTTGCTGGTCAAGGTACGCATGGGAGCCGCGAACCAATAAGTGGCTACCACGCGTCTAAAACGGCTCATAATTGGGACCTTTGCTTTCACTCTTAGTGGTACTCATTTTCCTTCAATAAATTTACTATCGATTTTTCTCTATAGCCTAACAGTAGGATGATTACCTTGTTTTATTTCGAATCGATCTGTTTGAGATATCATCCATTATTCCAAATATCAACCCCAAGTATTTATATGACATAAACATTTTTTAATCGTTTCTTTTAAATACAAATTTGCTTAAGTACTTAGCATGACGCCCACTTACGCTTTCCTAAAAAAAAAAAATTATTTAAAAATTTATTTTTTGTTTTTCCCTTCTTTCATTCCATCAGTAATTACGAAAATGGCCGCGTCTATTTATGCCACCCCACCGCCGGACTTAAGCAGCGAGGACACTGCACTATCTGATGTCTCGAATGCATCATCCCTGCATAATCGCAGCAATAGCAACAACAACACCAACAGCAACAGTAATAGTAACACCAACACAAACACCAGCAATAACAATACAACAACAAGCAACAACAACACAGCGAGTACTAATACAATAACAAATAAGCAAAAACGCAACATCGCCGAAGTCCTAGTCAGTGGTGAAAGTCAAAGAAGCCCAACAGAGCAACAGTCACCAAAACGATGTGCCACAGCATCACCAAAAACAACTAACGGTATAAGCGGAAGCATTACAAGTGCCGCAATTAGCGAAGAGGAGGTCGTTGATGGTAGTTCAACGCATGATGAAGGGGCCGCGGACCAATACGCTGACATGTCAACGACTCTGACGGCCGACGGTGGCCCCTCCGCGGCAGCAATGGCAGCTATGGCAGCGGCAGCAGCCAATGCAGCAGCTATGCAATTGCAATTTCTCGAAGCGATCAACGATGCAGCAAAGAAGCGACGTAAGCAGAATAATCCCAGTCGTGTGGGCGCTCAGGCTGCAGCAGCAGTGGCAGCAGCGGCGGCGGCAGCGGCGGCAGGTTTGAGTTTGAATAAGGGCACTGAGAGTGCACTAATCAATGTGGATGAAGCTGAAGCCGTTATTGAAGATAAGACAGAAATTGGGGCAGACAGCGTGGAGTCAATAGCATCAGCAGCAGTGGCATCTAACACTACACCAACAAAAGCACTGCCAATCGACTATGAAGATAAACTATCAAAAATGTTTTTACCAAAATCAATGGAACAGTTAAAGGACACATTTGAAATGTTGCAGCAGAAGCAGCAGCAGCAACAACAACAAGAGCAGCAACTTGGAAACATATCAACAGCAGACAGCGTTTTGACACGTGCCGAGGACTATGCAAACACGCCACACATTATTATACCAAAAACTGAAAGAGACTCAGACGCAATTGTCATTAATGAGGAAGTAAATGACAGCAGTTCGCCGAAGCCACAAGAGTCCGCTGATGAGCTGAGAAATCCTTATCAGACATTTTGTAAAACTTGTGGCGAGAACTTTGAAACCGAATTTAAATTAGGCCTCCATATGCTGCAAGAGCATCAAAGTGATGGAGAGACGCAGCAGCAGCGCGCCCTTAGCGCAACGGAAAATGGTCAGCCGAAAACAGGTGAGCTTATTGCATATGACAGAATGTCCGCAGTGAACGTTAAAATGGAGCGTCCAGACTATGAAAGCTCCGACTCACCACCCACAAATGTCAGGCCCACTGGCGATCCCAATGATAATGCCGGATCTAACCTACTTATGAACGGCAAAGAGTCTTGGCTGAATGCCATGCCGGGTATGGGGTTTCCTTTTCCGCCAGAGGCCGCAGCAGCTGCAGCACTCTCAGCCAGTGGCTATCTACCGCTCCTTGGCATGTCTGGATTTTCCACCGTCGATGGCCTGAATCGTCCGCCGATGCGTATTTTCAATCCCGAAGCGTACTGTGACCTCTGCAATAAGGAGTTTTGCAACAAATATTTCCTAAAAACGCACAAAGCCAACAAGCACGGCATCTATGATCCCGCGGTCGCTGCGGGAGCTGATAGTGGTGCCAACAATACTGGTGGCAGTATGAGTACTATGACACAGATGTTGCAATTGCAAATGCAACAACAACAGCAGCAGCAACAACAACATCAAAGCCTGCATCATTTTCAGCAAAAACAACAATTAGCATTAGAAGAGGCGCAGAAACAACAGCTCAGCAGCCAACAAGCCGCTAACGGCACTCTTCCACAACAAATCACACCGCCCGCTCCACCACCCATCTACTGCGATATTTGCTCAAAACGTTTTACGAATGTCTTTGCTATGCGCCGCCATCGTGCCAAGGCTCACGAACAGCCGCGCAACAGTCCCGGTGAACAGACAAATCTCACACCACCGACTCAGCAAACAATTGTTCAGTCGAACAAATTAGACTCGCCGTCTACAGTTGCTCAAAATGAATTGAAAAACGATTCACCTAATACCAAATCCCCAACAGAACTCGCTACCAAACCGTTCCAAATGCCCGACGGCTTCCGCCAAGACTTCACACTGGAGCAGGAAGAAGTGGCTTTTACGCCACAACCGCGAAAACTTTCGCCGCAATCGCAACAGCAGGCACGCGATGCCAATTTTTCACACGACAAACTACGTCGCCTTGGCGTGCTTAATCCAGAAGCTTTTTGCGAGATCTGTTGCAAAGAATACTGCAACAAATACTTTTTGCGTACGCACAAATGGAAGCGTCACGGCATATTTGTGCCACCCGACGATCTCAAGGATGACCAATTGCAACTGGCGCAGAAAATGCCATGGTCTTTCATGGGTCTGCCTGGCATGCCACTGAACTTAATGATGGCCAACGATAAGGCGCTGATGGCCCAACGGATGTTCGCTGCTGCCACTGCAACCGCTACTGCCGGCGCAAATGCAACCAATTTTGCGACCAATGTAAGCACTGACGATGCCACTCAACACATAGCCAAACGCATCAAGCTCGAACAAGTGGATGAAGAGCTGTCTAGAGCTAATGATGAAAATCAAGAGAATAAATGCTCCAGCGTTCGTCAGTCCGCCGAACAGCAGCAGCAACAACAAATCGCTTCTCACAGTGTGCCATCTACGCCAGAGCCACAAAAGATCTTATCTGAGTCCTACAATTCGGGTGCTAATATGCCTGCCAGTCCGGAGGCCGCAGTTGGTTTGCAAAATCTACAAAAACTGCAGTCAATGATACAACAACTCAACGACCTGAATGGAAAACGTTCGATGGGGTGTCATCTCTGTGGCCGTGAGATGGAGAATCAATACGCACTACAGGTTCACATGATGACCGAGCATGCTGGGTTCCTCGAAGGCAGTAGCACAATGCCACTGAACTTTCAACAACATATTTTTCAACAACAGCAACAATTGCAAGCACAACAAGAACAGCAGCAACAGGCACTCAAACTTTCACCCTCCGGTTCGCCGGGCATTTTGCCGCAACACAATGAGATGCGCTGCAATCAGTGCGACCGCGACTTTACCACTCTACAAGAATTCAAGCAACATATCGCCGAAGTTCATTTGCTTCCCGGCAGTCCACTGCGTGAAGGTTTCATTACGCCTGAGCGTCCCATAAATACGAACGCGGCAGTGATGGGTTCGCGCCCACCCTACACTATCACACCGACTAGCAGTTACTGCGAGATCTGCAACAAGGAGCTGTGCAACAAGTACTTCATGAAGACCCACATGCAGCGTATGCACGGCATCGAGATCGAGAATGGCGCCCAGATTGGTGGCGTAGTCTGCAACATTTGCAATAAAGAGCTTTGCAGCAAGTATTTTTTACGTGTCCACAAGCAAAACACGCATGGAATTGTCGATGAAGGTGCTCCATTGCCACAACCACGCCAAAACGGTTTGAGTTTCGAGGCACAACAGCAACAGCAGCAGCAACAACAGCAACAACAGCAACAGATGCACTCCGCTGAAAACGACTTCAAATGCGGTCTTAACTTGAGCCCCTTCGGTAGCGCTAGCTCGGGTGACTCCAAGTCTGATTACGCCAATTATACGGAGATCTGCACAATCTGCACACGACGATTCAGAAGCGCAAAGTGGCTGCGCGCTCATTTACAAAGCGACCATGGTCCGGCAGGTGTAGAAAAACTACGCGAGATGGAACAACAGTTAGGTCCACTAAGTAAATCTTCGAGTCCTACGCTCAAAATACCAAATGGCTCAGCCAGTTCCGGCTCCAACACTACGCCAGCCAATACCACAGCTGGGTTATTAACGAGCCCATCAAATCTGGCTCAAGCTCTACAAAATCTCAATGCCCAACACTTACTCGGTAGCATGCCGAAGAATATGTTGCCGGGCATGTTTGGAGCAGTAGCCGAGCAAGCACTGCAATCCCCACGTTTGCAAGAGTACCAGTGCTCTATGTGCCCCTTCACAACACCTTACTACGCATTTCTATTCATACACGAACGTTCGCATACTCTAATCGGTGGTACCGGAGAAGAAAACACTGCTACAGTCGAGCAATTGGTGCCCAACTGCAATATGTCTGATGAAGTTAACGGAGGAAATGAGGTCAAACCGCAATCTGATGTGGACGTATCAACCAAAGCTCAACTAGTACCATTATTACAAACCAACAATACGGTTTCAGGGGGCGGACGTGTTGAACCTACTAATTTGTCAACACGCACGGGCACACCAACTGGCTCGACGGGCAAATCGAAATCGTCGAAAGAGAGCAAAGCAAAACAAGCAGAAACCAAAGAGAACCAAAAGGTATTCGGTAACACAAAACCGACATTGCAGACCAAAGTGGAAAAAACCCGATCTATCGCCACATCCCCCATATTGATGGCGAGCTTCAATTCCGTTGCACAGGCAAAGCTTCATGAGTTAGCGCATAATAGTGGAAAAGTGGCAACTTATGCTGTACCGAAAGATATCGCTGCTGACGGTATGGATGAGGACGAACCACAAATGCAGGCTTTCGTATTGGAAATGAAATCGGAAAGATTCGAAATTGCTAAAGAGGTTGATGGCGCGGAGATTGAGGAGGAGCCAAGTAACAGGTTTGTGCCAGCTATAGTATATTTGCCCGTTAGGAAACGTGTCTCAGGGCCTGTAACGGTATCCTTTAACTTGACGCCAGCTTAGAGCTCAAAAGCGAGTAGTTTACGCAATTAGCATGATATGTTGCCAGATTATAACTTTTTACGTAAATAATTAAGTTTAAGTTTTCGAAAAATTCTAATTGGAAAGTAACCATTTTAAGGTTTTGATAATCTAAAGTATAATAATTTAAAATAAAGTAAAGGAGAATAAAATTCAATCAAAAATAAAAAATAAATTTAAAAAGTAAATAAAATAAAATAAATTAAAATAAAATAAAAAAATGAAATGAAATAACATAAAAAAATAAAATAAAATTCTGTCAAAGAAATTAAAATAACATAAAATAAATTTAAAATCTGGCAACATCAATGCTCTGCTGGCTGCAGCAAGCTTATCACTGGGTCTCTGATTTCGGTGATGAAAAAATCAAAAGTTCCTAAAATAAAAATCAAAATTTTTTATGAAAAGAATACAATTTTAGTGCAAGAACAAATTTAGTAAGTACATACATATTTAATTTAAAGTATTGCAACTTTGCGAAGCACAAAATAACACACACGGTTGCAGTGTAGCTAAATATACAGTAAAATATAAATGAATACAAAAAATAAAATGAAACAGATGAGAAATAGTGAAAGAGGCTAAGTTTGGCGAGGCATAAAACGACACTTCCACAGGCGAGAAAAATAATGAATTATATTGTATTGTATATGTGTAATGTAATATGTTTTATATTATAATTAAGAAAAATATACATACATAGATCCATAAAGGGAAAATGCTTTGCTCAAATTCATATATAAGAAAATTCAAGTCAAAGAATGGAAAAATGAATTAAATCTTTAATTTAATATTTAGTTTCAAAGAGTAGTAGCAAGCAAAACGGAGCAAAAAATTATGAATACTAAAAATGTAGATATGAAATTACAAATAATTTTAATTAATAGACACAAACAGTTGATTACATACATATTTGCCAAAATTACTATATTTAATCAAAAACTATAGACATATTGGTACATATACATACAAATATAATATTTCATGCGCATACACATACACACCTATTAACCTTATAAGTATGCATTTAAAATATATATAACTGCAACTTAGCGACTTATGTATACTGTACATACACTTATCCATTTACTAAATAGATACATACATATTATACATATATAAAAACCAGTAAATAAGGTAATTCAAAACAGGACAAGAACGTTTTCTCAGGGCAAAAGTACAACTTATTTAGTACTTTCCAATAAAAATTTAAGAAAATATTGTTGCTTAACAATAACAGTAGTAGTAAAAACAAAAGCAAACATAACATATGAATTCGAAGCACAAGACCGCCTAATACTAATTTGAAAATAAGAAGTGGTAAAAATTTAAAATCAAAATAACGCATTACTACCTCATATAACTAAATAAACAATAAGACAATTGCCAGGTAAATTTTTAGTGGAAATTACCGCGAATATATAAGAAAAAGGGAACAGGCTTCGCCGTGTTTTTTTTTTCATAAATTAAAAGAGGGAAACATAACGATAATGCAAGGTTGTATGTGCTTCAAAAATTGCTTATTTTTTCTAGATTAATCGATTGATTTTATTATTTTTTAGGATTAATTTTCTTTGTACTGAGAATCAAAGAAGTATTCCAAACATTCCAAAAATCAATACTTAAGAAGTAGGAAAAAAAATTAGGGCTCGTTTGCGTTTTAATATTAATTAGCTTTTATGGGCTGATCGGTTTTGGAGTAGAAAACTACACGTCTTCAAAACGTTTTTTTGCTTGAAGACGGTTATCGACGTATAAGCGAAAAATATCGGAAAACATAATAATATTGTCCTTTTATTTATATCGACCTCAAGCCAAACAAAATTAATGTAAAGTTAGTCGTACGGCCGCCAAAACCCTTAAAAAAGTTATTAGCGAAACCTAAAAAATTATTTTTAACGTCAACGAGCTCAATTTAGTCTAGTCAATGTATTTTATACAAAATAAAACTGAGTCGCGCTGGAAGCTACAAGCTTTAGCCGGTTTTAGCCATATACACACAAATAAAAATATTTCAAAAATAAGAAATTCTTGCAACAACTACAATGAAATATGAGTGTGCATTTTTTGGCGCGCACATATCAATGAGTAATAATATTTTATTAATATTAATATTTAAGGTGATTTTTATTAAGTGCGTACGCAAAAAAATGCATAAAGGATACAAAATAAAATAATCAAATAAAAATCAAAGCCAAAAAATGTTAATAAGGCTCACATTTGAATATAAATACCAAAAAATACCCAAAATGAAAAATTATATAGTAATAGTGCATACTTACAGTACAACGGCAATTGCTAATTTTGTAAATTTTTTTGAAGTATTTTAAAACGCTGCGTGCCTTTTAGCGATTGCCGGTTTTTGCTGCTTTTATTTTTATTACTCTTTTCGTACACATTTTCTAAGTTTTTTTTTTAATTTTTCTTGCATCGATTTTATAATAAAATTTTAATTTTAAGTCTTCAATGTATAATTTTAAAATGTATATTATTTTCAAGGAAAAATCATGATTGTAAAAATTGCTAAGCCAAATAAATTTATTTGTTAAAATTATATATGGATTTTTTATTTCTTTTCTTAATTTTGTTTATGTTTAGCATGTTTTACGCAGACTGTCTAATTTTTTGTATACTCGTTTTATTAGCATGCTGCTTTTGATTGTATAGTTTTTTTGAAATCAACTATTTTTCGGTGGATCACTTAAGTATATTTTTCAAATATGCTGATATACTGTGCTTGATTTTGTGAATTGTTTTGCCGAATATATGTATTTTTCAACACAAAACGGTTTCAAAAAGTACTTCCAAGCCTCCCCAAAGTTTTTCATTCGTTCAAACTAAGAAGAACAGCATAAGATAGCGTATTTGAGCGCCATTCTTAAGTGACGGTTACTACCACAATTGATAAACAGTGTGAACACCATTCAGCTAATTGAGTTGTCTAATTGCCTGCAGCTTTTACTGATTTCACAAATTGTCGCATGCTTTTATATTTCTTTATTATGTACATACACTTTTATGCCTCTTCATATCTAAACATATTTTTATGGTTCAAAAATATCAATTTTTATATTCATCTATTATTTAAACTCTTATAAGTCTCCTTAAATTGTAGTGGTATTCATTTGTTGACATCTTATGTAAGTGTGCTCGTGCTAAACACACTTTTCGTCGCATTAATATCACTTACAATTCCTTAGCTAAACAGCTTATACAATATATGTGTATGTATGTTTCATCCTCCATTCCTTCCCCCTCTACACATATTCAATTCCGTTTTTTATTTTCCATTTTTTAAAAGTTACCCTCTCTTGGGCTTTATAACAAGGCATAGTTGCCCTACTGTGCAAATAGTCGCTTGTTAAACCTCGCATTGGTAAACTCACTCTTCTTCTCTCCCCTCCCGCTTTCTTATACGAATTGTGTGCCACGTTCCGTTGACGGTATTGATTTCCACTAAAAAACACAAAACAAACAATCGTGTGTATTTCTTATCCTAATAAATTGTCTGTTATCTATGACATTTGTATGTATGATTATTGTCACACGACAGCATTGGCGTTAGGGAGAAACATTCACACACAAGAAGTCCGCACATTTCTCTTTAATCATATAATCTTACAAATTTATAAGTAGACTGGAAACAGTTCGCTTCTTTTTTTGTCACTTTTTTTTACAATAGAGTTATATACTTATGCATATATACTCTCGAAATTGGTCACAAAATTAACACTTATTGGCTGCTGCGCGAATTGACATCTTTTTTTTATTGATTTTTAACTTTACACCACTATTCATTAGGGTTAATCAAGAAAAACATATGTGTCTACATTTTAAGCTGACAGTGTCATCTAATATGTGAGGCGAGAAATTTCGGGAGAGGCCGGGTGATTTTTTTTTTTTTTTTTTAAGTTAGATTATAATTCAATTGGATACAAAGACAATTTTGAAGTATAGAAATTGGGTTAGGTTATTAATAATAAATTGCATTTGTTAATGTAAAAATGAAAATAGTTCATTATTTCGAAAGGCTTTTGTACATTAATTGAGTTGAAAGTGGGGGAATCTAGAACTAAAGATTCATGTTTTGTCGACTGAGAGCTGATATTAATAATTTTATAATGAAAAACGTTTCCTTTTCAAAGTTCAATTAATTGTGTTAAAAATCAATTACTATAAAATCTTCAGGCGATTTGTCGTCTAAAGTAGATTTAAGAAGTTTTCTAAATGTAGACTTCTCATGAACAAGATCTGAGTTTGATTGTGGTAACAAAAGCGGAAATGACAGAAATGGAATTGAAATGTGCTTCTGTTTAGCGGTTTTTGTCAAAACTGAGCCTACATATTGTATTAGAATATTGAAGAATATTAGGAAACTTTAAAAATTGGAAGTTCATTGTTAAAGCAGTATGAAGCTTTAAAAACATTTTATATACATTTATATATACAAAACACTGCTCATTAAATATAATATTATCGAAATGGTTAACCCTGAAGAACAAATAATTTTGTATTTTCTTCACACAATTTCCTCTTGAAGTATTTTGTACTTTTAGTGGTACCTCCGAAAAATAAAAGTTATAAAAAAAATCAAAAATATTACCACGCATAAAAATATCGTGGTCGACTTTTACTGTCCCCTCTGAAATGAAATATAAACACGAACTAAAAAATGTTAAAAAATAATTGCACTTCCGGATTAAGAACGTCCCCCACACGAATGTTTTTATTCTGCTCATTATACTTTTTAATGGGAAAAATCTCCCTTTTTCATTTCACTCCCGCTGTGATTACGATAGTATGTTTTTTGGTGGAAAATCAAAAACGAGAAAAAAATTAAATAAAAACTATACAATGCGTAAAACAGTAGTAATACACATACATACACTCGTACAGAAAAACAAAACGAGAAAACGTTACAAAAAATGTAAAAGGAAAATAATGGAATAAAATATGCATCTGCATTTTAGTAACGACCCTTAAAACCTACAGTGGAAAGAAATCAGCCAAAAAATGCAGGCCTCCACATGACCGCACCACGGAACCTTCAAACACAGACATACTCGTGCATGCAAGCATATTTATGTACGAATACTTATGCCATGCGCTGGATTCTATGCTACGCAAATACCATATC